ATGTATTTTTCTTCCTTACTGTTGGCACAGGTAGAAAAGGCACAGAATTGTGAAGGAAGCAGCTTCTGAGAAAAAAAAAAAAAAGTAGGTACTGAATTGTTCCACCCTCAAGTAAGTTTGAAATAAAAACTAGGCAGAATCATTTATTCAAAGTGCAGTTCTGCTTTTGCCCATTTATCCTTTACTGCTTGCCTTATTACCTCACAGGTACATCTCTTCTCCCTGCTCTCCTACTCAAGTTATTGAAAGCATCACTCTGAACTTTTTGCAACTAGGCAATTTTAACTGTGCTTCTCAGTTGAATGTTCAAAGCTAAAATAGCTTATAACATAATTTTGAAGGAGTTTCAAGCCCTCATCATTAAAATTAACAAAAACTTCCAATGTTTAAGAAAGAATTCCTAAATCTCATCCCTGCAATCTTCACTCTGTTTCTTGAAAGAAATTACAGTTCTTCTTCACTAATCTTTCTCCAGATTCTTTGGTGTATTCTACTAGTATTCAAGCATAAAGTGACAGTGGGGCTGACTATTCTGATTTCAGTGATGAGACTAAAGGGCAGCAGACAGCTATTTGATGTGAGAGTTTTTTGTATTTATTTGTGTAGCAAAAACTTTGGAAGTATAGATAGAGCACATAATTTTGCCAGATGGTGTCAGTTCAGCCTCTCTCTCTATTTTTTTGTCAGATAATCACTTTGTAGTGTAAGAATCTGAAGGAACAAGGGAAAAAAGGAACCATTATATTGCTGAGTAATTAATTTTATTTATTTCAGACTAAAATATCAAATACATATTTACCTTGGGAACAACAAGTATTGAGTTTTAAACTTGATTCTAAATGGGCATTCAAAATTATTTGGAAGTAACCTTTGACTGTATGCACAAAACACATAAAAATGTATTCCTCTGATACTGAAATGAGGATTGTGTCTTCTACTAATAACCATCTTGATCATACATTTGAAAGGTTCCATCCAACAAATCTAAAACTGAAACATTGATATAACAACAAGCACAGAAATAGTACCAACACTTTAACAAATACTTGCTTATTCTAGTGGGTATCCTCAAGGTGAAAGCCTTTGTAACTGTTCACAAGAGTATTAAGGATCACAAACTAATTTCTTTTTTCTCCCTCCCTTCCTTCCTTCTTCTTCTTCTTTCTTTCATCTTCTTTCTATAGAACTGTATTTTTTAAAATCTGTCATCAATGTACACTTTAAAGGTTGTCTGATTATCTAAATTCAGCATTTATCTATACTTGCTGGAAAACGCAATATCAGATATTTGAGATTTTCTTTACCTAAACAGAGAGGACTAATAATGGTATTTTAAATAGTGCTATGGTATAATTGACAAAACTGTTGCCATTTTCATGGCTACTATTATATACTTATCTGAAAAAATATTAATCTAAACATAAAAAAAATATTCTCCTTAAGTAGCTTAGTGTGTAGCTTTTTGTGTTTTTCTTTAAAAGAAAACCATCATCATAAGAAGAACCATCTTAAAAATGCTACTGAACAAATGATGACATGCAAAATGTCTCACAGGTTATGTAAATAGCTCAAAGAAAAAATGTTTTTAAAAACACATCTGGTAAAATTCTCCTTCACCACACACAACCCAGACAGCATTCCCCACCCCCACCCCCCAAAAAAGTGGTAGACACTAAATATCTCCAGGTGCTGAGTAACAAGACCATTTTTATAGATATGCAGACAAGAGGAACACTGCTTCATCTGTTCAGCTAACTGCAGTAACCAACTGTTTCAAACCTATGAACAATTAGTAGTAATACTTCCTGTACTTTCTATGTACAAATTCTAATTTGCACAATTTCACATCTAGTGAAAATCTAGTATAAGGGTGTGAGAATATGAAAGTGCCTAGATGATCTTTTTGACTGCAAAGGGCTGGAAACAGTATCTGAGTGCAAACCATTTTAAAGATGCAGAAAGAAGCTGAACACCTGTTTCAGAGAGCAGGAACCAGAATCTATTCCAATTTATGGTGATAAAGCTTGATGCATGAGAAGGTTAAATACCTTTGGAAGATATCTGGCATCCAGCCTCTATTATCAGATTAAGCCAGATGTGATTCTAGAGGATGCATGTCTGTAGAAATGCTGACATTTCACTTTCCAGTTTCTTTGATGAAACTACATCAAATAACAATTTTTTACAGAAAAAAAGGTAAATTAAATGAAACAATTTAATAAAATTCATATCAAATTAAATCTGAACATGAAAAAGAAACTTTTTACTCCAGGATAGTGCTGGTAAGAGTTAAACCAGAATCAGAAACAGGAACACATTATTTATGCATCCAGTCCCACCTATCTTATAAATTTTAGATTTTGCTATAAATGACCTAAATTTATATAAAAAACACAATCTAAATGTTCAGAAAAAATTCAATAGTAAGTTCTACTTAAGAATGAAATGCTTCAGGGAAGGAAATGCCAGAAGGACAAGAAAAAGGAACATGCTCAGAAAACATTTTTCTTTGGCACAAAAGTGTCACTATTAAGAGACTTGTTTCATATCTGGTTACTTAAAATGCCATATATTAAAATATAGTACCTTATAACACATGCATAGAGCCCGCTGTCTTGTACCACTGTCGGTCGGAACCAAATGGAGTCTTCTTCTTTGCTCATTCTAGTTCCATCAAAAGCTATAGGTTCCTCAAAATCTCCAGGTCCAGAGCTTTTGTACCACATCAGACTAAGTCCAGAACTTTGGGCTAGGGAGTAATTAGCTCTAATATATCCATAAAAGAGCGCACATTTTATACGAACAGGTTCTCCCACTAGAACTTGATATTTCTTGTAATCCACAGACCAGTCAGTGCATCCATCAGCTAAAAGAGAAGAGAAAATTACAAGAAATTATAAAAGGCTTCAGAGAGCACTATTCACACAGTAACCTTTATTGTGGGAAAGCATTGCATTTGAGAAAAGGTCCATTGAGTGACTGACTAGCAGTAGTACTCTTTTGATCCCTGAAAAATTAACTGCATTTTCACACCCATAACATCATGTACTTGTCTATGCAGAACAGAGTTATTACTAGATTTTGTGTTAAAAGTTGATAATTTTTGAGATAACTGAGCAATTGCTCTTTTATCTTTTGTGGAACTCCATCATGACCAGTTATAAAATACTGAAGTGAAGCTAGTGCAACACAGAGGCCTTGTGGTACACAGGGTGTCATAATCTTTGAATTGCATCAATCTAATACTGTCAGGGTAGCCACGTAAAGAAGGTATTACTCAGCCTCAGAAGACATTAGGACAAGGAGCTGTGGCTTGAACCAAAAAGTGTGAAAGTCTGTATTAGATTTGAAGGAGGAGAAGAAACTATCTTAACAATAAGAGCAAAAAGAGCAAATGTGCAAAAAGATACTGCCAGGAAAAGGACCATCAGTATTTTTAATGGAAGTGCATTACAAATGATTTTAAATTATTAATGTTTTTCTTTCTTCCTGTCTTGGTTAGCAATAATTCTAGAATAATTTTCATATTCTTCACCTGTTGAATAATGTCAGCCACTATCCCCCAATAACTGCTCATCAGAAAGCAATACTAGATTTGACTTTCTGAAGCCCAGCAACAAAACCAAACCCTCAAACCAATAAAAACACCCAATTACCCTCCTTCTTCCCCATAATTTTTAGTTAAGAAAACCAAAACAACAAAAGAAGAACAGATACTTTCTACAATTAATTCCTTAACAAAAGAACAAAAGCTTATAGTTATTTCTTAAGGAATTTCAACCATGGAAATTCACCATTACATTCACTGACTTAAAATCTCAGTGTCCTAGCCTCAGCTAGTTAATCAGGCCCCAAATCCAGTCAGTAGAAAGCAATCAGTACATTCAAAAGACAGTTTATTTCATCTTAAAATGAATCTGTGACTTCTATGTATATTTGGTCTTTGAATTTGCCACTTCTTTTTACTAACTTTAAAAGAGCTTGGACAGCTAGCTAGCTTAGAAAATCAACTTTTGCAAAACTAACGTCGCATAAAATGCCTCTCACTCTAGGGTTTGTTGAATACTGACTTTAATTGAGATTTCAAGCTACTGTGCAAGATAAAGCAGTGTTAACACTTTAAATACAGACAATTTTTTCATCTCTGATTTGGGAGAATAGCATGCCAGTTAGTGATTTTTGAGACTGACATTTGGATAATACCACAGTACTTAATACACATAGCAAAATAAGAAAGGCACAAACAACTCCACACACCACTATGTGAGTAATAACCTAAGTCGATACAATATTGAAAGATGGAGGAAAAAAGAATAAAAAATTTAGAATCAATTTGCATTGTGAACAGAATTCACAGAGAATTATTTCATATATCTTTGGATTGCCTCCTCCTGCATTTACTTTTAAGAGCAGAAAGGGACAATAATATGTCCCTGTTCCAATTTTCTTACCCAAGACTCCCTAAAAATTAGTAACTTTTACAAGGCCCTAATAAGACATAGATGTACTCTGGCAGAAATTGAAGTGAATGCAGACAAGGCTATGCTATTAGCTTCCCCATAGGACTTAAGAAACTAACTTCTATTTATTTCAGAATTCATTTACATCTTTGACCATTTCATTTTTTTACCTTTCTGAAAGAACATTCTCTCTCTGATATGATTCTATTTCTCTCTGCTTCTAAATCCCCATGCCAAAAAATGAATTAACAGGCACCTCTAAGAAGCATTCATTCCATTATATAAGTTACCAGGTAATTGCTTCTTCATCATGCTTCATTATCAAATTGTAATCTTGCCTTTCTGCCTAATTAAGTTATTCGAGTTTGGTTTATAATATTAGTCTGCTAGTCATGTTTTCTCCCTCAGGATATTCTATTCTAATGGTTCCCAGTTCCTTGAGCTTGATAAATCCATGAACATATTGCAGAATAACACCAGGCCTTCATATTGAATGAAGGATTAACTATGCAGAGCAGATATCCTCAACTTTATCTCAGCATACTATTCCTCATAAAAAAGTGCTAAGGATCACCTATAGTTCAGTTTAGTAGGCTTAGGCAAACATACTAGCAGGTATTCTATAATCACATGCAAAACCAGAGAGAATATCAACAAACTTTTGAAAATTAACATTATTAAAGTTCAGTTCCTGAGTTTTAAGGAGAATGTTAACAATAGATTGAATATGTAGTCATTGTATTTACATTAGCGCTCTGTGAAATAATTATATCAAATATATAAATTGGATGAAATTTCTATGGAAAGAGAATGCAAATCAAAAATTCCTAAATGCCTAGAATTGTCCAAAGTTTCACATTAAGACTTCATATCATGAAGTTCAACCAACATTACATCTTAAGGTAATGATCTACTGAACTATTTGGTCATTTGTTGACACTAACCACATCAATATGTCCCACCAGACAACTTAAGAGAATATCAATTCAAGCAAATATGAATACTGGCATGCTCATCATATTATGGATTTGTATTTTGTGTTTTATCTAGTGGTGTACCACAGGTGTCAACATTGCGTCCAGTCCTTTTTAGCATCTTCAGTAATGATCTGGCTGATGGGGCAGAATGCACCTTCAGTAAGTTTTCTGATAACACAAAACTGAAAGGAGTGGCTGATACACCAGAGAGTCATGCTGCCATCCATAGCATCCTCAACAGGCTGGAGAAATGAGCTGACAGGAATCTCATGAAGTTCAACAAGGAGAATTGCAAAGTCCTCCTGGGGAGCAATAGCCCCATGCACCAAGATGTGCTGTGGGACACCCAGATGTAAAACAGCTTGGCAGAAAAGGACCTGTGATACTGGTGGTCACCAAACTGAACATCAACCAGCAATGTGCCCTTGCAGCAAAAACGGTATGCTGAGCTGCGTTAGTCAAAGCATAGTCAGCAGGTGGAGGGAGGTGATCTTTCCTCTCTACCCAGCACTGTTGAGGTCACACCTGGAGTACAGTGTCCAGCTCCAGGATCCACAGTACAAGAGAGACATGGACAGACTGGAGAGAGTCTATAAAGGGCCATAAAGTTGTTTAAGGTACTGGAGTGTCTCTCCTGTTAACACAGGCTGCAAGTTGAGACTGTTTAGCCTAGAGAAGAGAAGGGGACTTAGTAATTAATAGAAATACATGAAGGGAGGGTGCAAAATGGGTGGAGCCAGGCTCTTTCTGCTGGTGCCTAGGGACAGGACAAGAGGCAATGGGTACAAATTGAAACACAGGAGGCTCTTTCTGAACATTAAGCAGCACTTTTTTCTCTAAGGGCGATTGAGCATTGGCACAGGTTTCCAAGGGAGGTTGTGGGGTCTCCATCCTTGGACATGTTCAAAAGCCAGATAGACATGGTGCTGGACAGTCATTTCTAGGTGGCCTTGCTTGATCAGGGGTTTGGATCGGATGACCTCCAGAGGTCCCTTCCAACCTTAACCATTTCGTAATTCTGTGATTTATTACAGTTACATTCACTGATAATCTTAAGAAAAAGTGTCCTCTCCTCAGTGTGGTCTTCCACTGAAGTGAACATGACCCTGTTTCTCTTCCTGCTTACAGAAATATTATACCAGTTACACTCTGCCAACACTGACATTCAAGTCACTTAGAACTGTATTAACTTTATTACAGCAGGAAGCTTTAATACCTTAAAAATCTTCCAGGAAATACCTCACACTACTGTTCAGCCAATGTGCCATCATCTATGAAAAGGTGCTAATGCAATTTTGACAGATATAATAGAAATTCATCATTCTCATCATAAGGCACAGACACCCTTCTGTGATATTTTGTGATAACAGTGATATTTCAGGAGATAACTGTCTATCTGTGTTTAAAATGTTCCTATTCCACTGTAACTGAGGAGTATAAACAGAGGCTTAAAACCAAATAATGGAAAGAAAAATAGACTGTCATGTCCTTAAAAATTAGATTACTGTAAACACTCAGACAGATGTTAACATGCATGCACCATAACTGACAGAACTTATGTACACTTTGCATGTGGTGTAACAGAGCACACATGCATTTTTCAGTCTACAAAATCTTGGATGTATCAGAAACCTAATTAATGTACAGATACACTTTCAAAGACCCAAAGACTAATTATATTTATGATGCCTATTAAATTCATAGAAATTTTTAGATTTTTCTATTGCCATTGGCACCTTAACAATGTTACACATTTGTGTGTTAAACACTTTTGTTACTGCCTTCATAAATAGGGACAGAGAAGAACAAAGGTTTAATGTTCATTCAGACTTGTTAATATTGAACAGTTTGAGGGATTTCTATTCATTTTTGTATTCTAACTGTGGTCTATTTCTATTTTGACTGGATTTTCTTTCTTTTCTTTGTGTATAAGTAGGGCATTGGCCAAATAAAATATCTAGTGTTACCCTTCTTAGTTATGGCTGCTGCTGACACACAATCAACACCTACATTTATGCTGGTTCAAAATAACTGTGGGGAAAAAAATGCACTAAAGACTTTTAAATGTTTTTATTTCTATCATCACATCATCAAACAGTCAATCATATTTTATTTTATTTTATAAATTGGAAAATACTTGAAGAATTCAACAGTTTTGAAATTTCAGAACTTGCTTCAAATGAATGGTTGTAGTCTCTGGTCTCTATTTTAATATGCTGCCCATTATTGCTACACATAATAGCACAATACAGGGTCCAGGATGAATATCATTCACTCAGTTATTTCCTTGAGTTATTTCAGAGTAGGACATAAACCACACTACATCACTGTCCTAGTAATGAGATCGTTCTGCTGGATAAACAAGGTTCTTGCAGGCTGTACCTGCTGATAGGACCCAGTATACAGAATATTTAACATTACTGAGAAGGTCTTCCCCTTCATCTTTCAGGGTCATATGTATAATTTTCAAGGCAAAATTCAGTGCTAAAAAGGAGAAAAAAAAAAAAAAGCTAATAACTCCTGGGTCCACTGCTACAGCCTGGTATCATTCAAAAGCTTCAATTCAATTTATAATTTTCAGAGCTAGTAAAGGTCTTAAAATTTTCAGTATATTGGTGGAAATCTGATTTCTGGACACCTAAAAATTTAGGTCTGACAGTTGAAAACAGTTGTCCTAAAATACTTGTAACAGTAACAGTAAATTCTCATACATTTATTGTATTTAATAATATATAATAAAGTAAAAAAATAACAGATTCATTTTTTCCTGTTTATGTGTGTTTGTAGTTCTGTTCTTAATATAATTTCCTACAGAGAACCTTATGCAATGTCACTGTGCCTTCTATTTAAGACACTTCAGGGTTTTTGAACACATTAGGCATTTGCAACCAAATCTGGCAAAGAAGTGATCTCACAAATTGTGAAAAATGGTTATGTAAGGGAGGAAGGACCAGCTCTTGTTCCTAAAGCTGGGGACTCGTCAAAGAGGGCATTAGTGAATGCAGAAACAAAATGTAGTATGTAGGAAGAGTAAATATGATTGGTAGAGAAAGTGAACAAAAGATGTTGTAGCAGTGCAGGTAATATTTTTGAGTAAGATGGAGAAGTATGGGGAATAATCTGTCAAGAAAACAGGCTTCCCTCAACTGGCTGTTCATAAAACAACTTTTCAGAAGTTTATCAAGTAATGCAGAAGACTCAAGATAACTTTCTTTAAAACAATTTTCACAACAAT